TATTTTCATTATTTTATTATTTCCATTCTACGTGACTTTACCGAAAGAACCAAGAAGATGAATCCCTGCAGTCACGAAAGCTTTCAATCGAAATTCACTGATGCCTGTCCAGTTACTGATGCCTGCCCAGTCAACTGTACTTTACGCACAATCGAAAAAGTTACTCATATTACAGATTTTTTGGGTTAGATTGCGTAAATGTGTGTCATTAAACCCGCTACCACCCGACACAGCCAATTAATAAGTTTTGTCACATAATCAGAACGTGTCAATTCGTTACTGGTACAGCACACCGATGTGTTGGAGAGTTAATCCACAACATTTACAATCCGAGTACGATGTGAACCTTACCAAGTGTCGGGTGGTGTCGGGTTTAAACGACACATTTATATTTACATGATCTAACCCCCCCCCCCCAAAGAAAAACTGTATTATGGATAATATTGGTCGTGAAAGCCTACGTGTTAAACTAATAAATCATTGTATGCATTTTTCAAAGCAAACCCTGGCATTGGAGATTAAGCTTTTCAAATTGCACAGATGGTAGCATAATCATCATTCCTCCACCATCCAAAGAAACCTTAACACAAATGTGCCCTAATTTATGAACAATTCCACGCACAGCTGTTCGTATTGGCATGTGTTTGAGATATGGAGACGCAAGGCCATTGTTGCCTTGTTATTGTGGGGTCGAGTGTTGGTAAAGTGGTTATCGCACTGCGCTGAGGCTATAATCAATGTCAGGTGATATGAGAACCGGTCTTGCCCTCCCCCCATTCACCAACCTACACTGGCAGAGTGGTGAAGTACAGTCCAAATGCCCCCATGGCGTTGAAAGGTCTTGACGTATTGGTGGATTGAGAATGGCTGGAATGTATTATGTTATCTCGCTACAGTTGGATCCAGGTTGAAGTTTCATATCTCGTGTAAAGTTGCAGTTTTACCACAGACAGTGGCTAAGCCGATCTCCACCAAGTCCCAAGGGCATCAAGCTTAAGGCTTACAGGTATTTTATTTTTCTTCGTCATGTCCGATGCTTTTCAAAATGACTGTGAATGCACGTGTGTCTTCGGTCCACCTGATTTTACTGCAGCGCGTTTCAATGCATACCATTGTTTGAATGTTCTGCCCTTTCATGCAATCTCTGTTCACATTCCTACGTTTTTTTTTGCATGTCCTTCGTGCGTCTAAATACATTTTTTTAATGCAAAATTACTATTTGCTATTTAAAATTGTGTTTTTTTTTCTCTTAATCCTTAATATCTCCACAGTCATAATATGGAGCTCCGACTTAATGGTTGACACCGTCAATCTTCCATTAAACCAAACACAATTCACGGCCGGCACAAACAGGATTAAAGCGACTTGGCTGATGCATTCTGAAGGAACGAGACACTTGGGGTGACTCACGGCAGATTTAACATAAAAGGAGAATTAAATGTGTACCGGTGACTCACTTTGCAAAACGATAACTAGTATTACTGTGCGGTCATTCAACACATTCCTGCGGAGGGAGCTGGTAGTAACGTTGGGTTGCTCGGTCAATGGCCAGGGTTAACGGCGGCGTGGTGTATTCCGCAAATATGCCCGACTGTGTGGGCAGGCACAAGCCGACGTGAGTAGGTTAAACGTTGAGTTTTATAAGGGTACCACGGGGTGACCAGCCCCTCCCCACCCAGCCCCACCCCTCCCACCCCCCACCCAGCCCCACCCTCCCCACCCAGCCCTACCCTCCCCACCCAGCCCCACCCCTCCCACCCCCCACCCAGCCCCAACCTCCCCACCCAGCCCCTCCCCACCCTCCCCACCCCCCCTCCCCACCCAGCCCCTCCCCACCCTCCCCACCCAGCCCCTCCCCACCCTCGCACGACGGACGGACGGACACAATAATCCTCTGTGGGCTGGTGTAACCAGGTGGTTTCTACCAGTATTAACTGCGTCCTAACCCTTTCCTCAACGACATTGCAGTGGCGTATCACAAAGTGACCTTCCCGTTGCCCAAAGGTTACACACATTGCTCAAGACGACGGCAGATGCACTCAGCCAGGAGTTTTGATGAAATCCCCTTTGTGAACACTTCGTTCTGAAGAAGCACGACAGCACAGGTTGTTATTTCACAGTTTCAAGCTGGGTTCTAAAAAGACCTAAATCAACTCAGATCAGCACGGTTGGCAACAGTACGGCGCGTAACAAGTCCAACACATACCTCGCTGCGTCGCGCGATATTCAGATGCGCTTCTGTGGCCGTCTGGAACGCTCTTCCTTCCGATATTAGGAAACCACGGGGCTATGCACTTTTAAATAATCTACATTAAAAATGTATTAATTTAAAGCTGCTTTTTGTGATGAGTTTGTGTTGTCCTTCCCCGCATCCTCCGATTAGCACGGATGGCTACGTACTATGTGAAAGAAGTCCAACATATATGCATACATTTACTTAAGCTCTGTTATATAGAACACATCCTTACATTACACCGGTGGGGCAAGGTGAAGGACAACTTCTCATGTTGTACTCCGGATATTGTCAATTAGTGCGGATATAAGAACACCTGGCCTTACTCACAAGGGATGTGCTCATATCCAGCTCATTACGCAGTGTCAAATTGCCGACTGCTACTTCACGTCTTCACCCTTTCCTTTCCCTCCCCCCGTGTTGAGTTTTTGAGTGTGTTTATGTGTTCGTCTGTTCTTTGGGGTTTCCCCAGGGATTGATCGGGATGGCTATTGGCTCAAAAGATGTTCTCTTTTTTAATTTCCATCGGAGTAATACGTTGCAGTTAGGTGTGAGATAATGGTTCATACATTCTGCGTCTTGGCTTTTGCCAATTGTCAATATTTCTGGTATTTGCAATCCGATGAGACTATTGCACGTATGTGACTTGTCTGGTCACAACATTTTGCTCGAGATGTTGTTTTCAACTGTACTGAATGTAGGCTTACAGTTGATGCTATAAACCCTTAAAATAAAACTAAATTGTGGCAATACACTCAACAACAAAGATCTCCTATGTAGCCATAGGGTCAATTGTTCACCAGAATCAGTATATTTATTTATACTGGACGAATCCGATGAGCTATAAAGCTCTTTCTCACAGATGTTGCAAGTAAGCAGCACTTGCTGCTATGGCTTGCTACATTAGAGAGCGGTGTGACCAATAACACACCAAGTCTCCTTTGTGTCACCAGTACTGAGATTCACAAACAACACCAGGTGCTCATGACTGGCCAAAGTAGCTGAAATTTATACAAAGAAGCATAAACATGCATACTAGGATACTGAGAAAGAAATAATAGCATAATGGCCAGGAAACAAACACAAATCAATTGTATTGACTATTAAGGCAAGCAGGTAGGCTTCGGCAGGACACAGCAGTGATGGCCAATGGACGTGACTGTACGTATGTTGAACTTCTTTCGCACCCTACGTATCCAACCAACTGGTAACGGAATGGCCGCCAAAGGACAGACCACACCTGAGAGGAGGGTCACCGCGGAGATGGAACGATGAGATACGTTCACCTGCATGAGCGCAATGGATTGTGGCCTCACTGAGTCATGAAAGATGGCCTTCATCCAGCAGTGGATAGACAATGGCTATAATAATGAATGATAACCTACGAGGAGCCCAGAACACGGGAGGTAATGCCATCGGTGTTAGCCTGCAGTACGAAGGGACTAGTGGCCACGGGAGGTAATGACAGGGGTGTCAGCCTGCAGTACGAAGGGACTAGTGGCCACGGCAGGTAATGACAGGGGTGTCAGCCTGCAGTACGAAGGGACTAGTGGCCACGGGAGGTAATGACAGGGGTGTCAGCCTGCAGTACGAAGGGACTAGTGGCCACGGGAGGTAATGATAGGGGTGTCAGCCTGCAGTACGAAGGGACTAGTGGCCACGGGAGGTAATGACAGGGGTGTCAGCCTGCAGTACGAAGGGACTGGTGGCCACAGGAGGTAATGATAGAGGTGTTAGCCTGCAGTGCGAAGGGACTAGTGGCCACGGGAGGTAATGACAGGGGTGTCAACCTGCAGTGCGAAGGGACTAGTGGCCACGGGAGGTAATGACAGGGGAGTCAACCTGCAATACGAAGGGACTGGTGGTTACAGGAGGTAATGACAGGGGAGTCAGCCTGCAGTACGAAGGGATTGGTGGTTACGGGAGGTAATGACAGGGGTGTCAGCTTGTAGTATGCAGGGACTAGTGGCCACGGGAGGTAATGACAGGGGAGTCAGCCTGCAGTGCGAAGGGACTAGTGGCCACGGGAGGTAATGACAGGGGTGTCAGCCTGCAGTGCGAAGGGACTAGTGGCCACGGGAGGTAATGACAGGGGTGTCAGCCTTCAGTGCGAAGGGACTAGTGGCCACGGGAGGTAATGACAGGGGTGTCAGCCTGCAGTACGAAGGGACTGGTGGTTACGGGAGATAATGACAGGGGTGTTAGCTTGCAGTACGAAGGGACTAGTGGTTACAGGAGGTAATGACAGGGGTGTCAGCCTGCAGTGCGAAGAGAGTAGTGGCCACAGGAGGTAATGACAGGGGTGTCAGCCTGCAGTACGAAGGGACTGGTGGCTACCGGAATGATGAATAGGAGCGTTGTCACGTGACGGAAGAAGATGGTCGAGTCTGCTGGTGGAGTGAGCATCCAGAGTCAGGGAGAAGGTTCAGGAATGAGGGCGTGGCCTCGGTCCGTATATAAGGGGGAGATGTGCGGGAGACTCGGGGCTGTTGCAGTGGGGTCTCCGCCTTTGAGTGAATGTGTCTCGTCCAATAAATAAACCGTCTCAAGAAAAGTGTGTCAAATCGTCATTGCAAATGTGTCAAGGTGCATGAGCGACTTGTCTGAAGACATTCGACACTGGAACGTAGAATGACGTAATGCCCAAGTGTTAGCTTGGAAACATCAAGCAAGAGGGCATTCATTTAAAACAAGGTGTGTTTAAACAAGAGACTTGACTGTCATGGTTGGAACATTATACGCCTGACGGGTTCTCTGCCTAGCTGTGTTTTGTTTGCATTAAAGGCATCATTAAACATTGCTGTGCAGTTATGTTTAACACTCATCACCCTCCAGCATAGAGTCAACTATCCCACATACACAAAGCATCCTTTTATTTACTAGGAAAATGACTTATCTTTGATACCTTTAAAACACACACACACACGTGTGATTGTTCTTCTCCGAGATCAAAGTTTTAATAGAAACTGCATACATGTGTTGGCAGTACATGTAAAACAAACCTTTGGTACATGAAACTGCTAATAGTGTTCAAAATACAGAAGTATGGGGTAAATATGCAATAATACACTGTACAATATACTATAGTTGGTTCATATAGAAAATTACAATGCAAATTTTCAAATGTCAATGATAAATGTAAGGCTATCTATGTTTTGAGTTATTAGCATTTCATTTAAACTTGTCAGAAATAATATAATCACCTGTTCTTACTTACAGTTTCACTGCTGGCAAGTCAGCAACGGCCAGTACAGGCGAGAGTTCCATTAAAATATTCTTAAAACTTACAAATAACAATAATGTTGAGAGCAATACTGCAAAAAACAGCTGAGAAACACACATTTCCCAATTAAAGTGCAACCATTCCACTTAAGAATCCATAGCTCGTTAGCTGAACCCTGGAAGGACCCCGTGCACTGTCCCAGTGTGCAGGGTCGACTTGCTTTATCAGAGCTCTAGAAAGCCGGGCCAGGTGGGTTCCTGGCCAGTATTGTCCACTTTAAAACAAAATCCCTGCTAAAAGCTCAATAATACCAATCTCTAAGAATGTGGGGGCACTATCGGCAGAGCCCATTATCCGTGCCTAGTCCATTATCCGTGCCTATCCAGGCCAATAACTCCTCATATACACCGGTCGAGAAGTAGTACAATGGTTAGCGCACTGTGCTTTCAACCTAGCTGCCTGCGTTCCATTCCTAGCCACAGATAACATCAGTGGCGAGCGATATTTGAACCCGTTCCGGGCCACGTTTCCCCTTAACCAACCCACCAGAGCTGGGATTGACAAAGGACTGTAAATGATTATTTCTTCGTGTGGTTATCCACAGATAAACAGAGCCAGTGGACTATATTTTCAGCAATTTCCAGCGTATTCCTCTTTACGTGTTGAAAACGGTATAGGTAATATGATGAATTCGTCACTTCTGGGAGACCGCTTCTAGGTAACGTGTATGCATGGATAATGCCATGAATTTCCCACTACAGTACTTCTGCGTGGATGATCCTCTCATTGCTGGATAAACATTAATGGGATTTTGTTTTGACACTTCTGGGTCATTCCTTTTACGGATAAATAAAACACAGGGTTATAGTTATAATACATTCTGGGATATAAACAATCATTTGAGTACCAGACTTGGTCAAAACGATCAGAAGGAAACCGACAACGGTGCCATCGTAGTGTGCATGTGGAGCTGTTTATACCTGAAAAGTGATCGCACCTCATTCCGATTGCATGAATCGTCACAGCAGCCAGATGTCAATAAAAATCAACTAAGTTCAGTGTTTGCAAATCTGCTCAAATCACTGCCGCCGCAATCGTGGGCTGTATCAATCAATTAGTCTTCTCTGTTGGTGAAACGGGTGTCTAAATCACCAAGCCGCAACACCTGTGTACATTATTTAATTGAATCTCTCTTACAATTGAATAATCTTTCCAAATGACTCACCGAAACGAACCCTAAATCATTCTCCGCCCCACCAAGTCATTTCCAGCCCAACCCTGTTCTACCCGAGGCGAAACTGTCTCTTCTTATTTTTTTAATCAGAGCTGGCAACCCACAAGCAATACATTAGCCCGCGCCCGAGAGCAAAGCAATCTAATTGTCTCCGTCTACCGCACTTGAACTTGCTCATTCGACCGTCCATCACATTGCCAATTTCATTATAAAGTTTAATTTTTATGGACATGGCAAACCAAAACTATTTCTGATAGGCCGCCCCAGCTAAATCTCAATACTGCATGTTTATTATATGGGTATATATATATTATTGTATATACAAACATGGGAAACGGTTGTGTAGCGGTTAGTGCGCTACGCTACGAAACCGGCGACCCGAGTTCGATTCATGGTCAACACCAGTGACATTTATCTTAACCGTTCCTGGGCCTCCTCTAGGTCTACCCAGCCTCAAATGAGTAGCTGATGCAGTGTGTAAATATCGCCACGTTAGAGACAAATGTGACCGGGCGTGGAGTGAACACCCACTCCCTCATGCACTGTGCCAGCCTTCGGAGGTGCTCGCTAACAGCACTTGCCCCAAGTCTTTTAAAAGTTATATGGGGGATCTTTATCGTTGTCATATTTACTTTTTGGCAGATTCATGTTGACATCCCCACAATCTAGAATTCGCCAATGTACATGGTGCAAATGCCATGTTACATTTTAAAAAGACTGTATTCGTTTTAAAAAAATACCATGCTTTTGAAAGAAAATCGTCATTTAATCCCCAAAAAAGCTAGGAGACACTGCATATAGCATTTTTTCCAAAACATAAAAGCAAGGTTAAACATTGCGAACCGCTATAATCCACGTGCAGTTTCCAGTTCTTAAGTCACAGGATGCTTTAGAATGTTAGCATTCACTTGAAACGACCAAGAAAAAACTAAATCCGATTCTTCAAAAACCAGAAAGTCAACGATATTGCTGGAAAGGAGCTTCTTTCTTTCGCTGTTTGCAGGAACTGATCAAACAGTTGGGCACTCCGCTTCTGAAGGAAGGCGGACGAGCAGCTTTAAATAATATTTTTGCAGCTGCTTTTTTCATGTTGTGTGATCCAGCAGGCGGCGTTGGGGGGACCAAGGGTGGCACAGTCGGGTTTTTTACAATCGGGTCTAATTGTCTTTTTATATTAAACCCGATCATCTGAGATTGGGAGAAATCCGGTTTAATTGGTTCTAATTGCAGAACCGCACATCTCAACGATGGGCTTCATCCATTCCAAGCGAAGGAACTCACTGGCGCCCACGATTGTGGAGGAGAAGCTCCTCGTGTTCATCAAGACCAACCTGCCCGCCGCATTCTACGACTACCCCGTGCCCGACGGCCCCCCCGAGTACGATAGCAGCACCGACGAGGAAGCAGCCTAAGCCTTGGATCAGAGTTCCGTATTCATTAAACCAGGTTTTAAATCCCCGAAATCGGATTTAATTGTATTAAAGAAAAAACCCAATGCCTGCCGCTGGAAAAATCGGTTTTTTTTCCACCCATGGGGGGGACTGGTCACAGTTGCTCTGCAGGCGTTTCCAACGAAATTATTTGCTCTGTGGTCAACACCATCGACATTGGTCTCAGCCGTTCTTTGACTTTCACGAACTCCGGCACATTTCCGTTCTCCACGTCCTCCACCGCCTTCTCCCTTTCCTTTTCAGTCTGCAAAAAGATATTCAGCATTGTCATATAACCAACGATTAAATACAATTCAGAAAAAAAAAACACTGCATGCACATGACTTCCGGTTTGATTGTATGCAGTTTGCTATGCAGAAATGTGAAACGTCCAAGTGTCTGCCTGTTAAAATTAGTAGTGAGGGTAGCACCTATTTCCTTTGGCAACCCAGTGCCAGTGGTGGAAATGCCACGTCTCAGCATGGCAGGAGTTGGGCTCTCCATAAGATGACCACATACGTACATATAAACCAAATTCACTTTCTCAGCTGTTTTGATGTAGAGTGTGAATAATAAACAATCTATTTGGTGGTATGGGAGAGTAACACCATTCCCAAGGACTGTACAAAAGGCCTAGTCGTGATACTTCCCCAAAAGGGACAGCTTGGAAACTTCAATAACTGGCAAAGAATTAGTCTCGTTTAGCTTCCTAGCAAAGTCTTCTGCAAAATCCTGTTCAACAGGATGAACAGTGCCCTTGACCAGACCCTGCGGAAAGAGTAAGCTGGTTTTAGAAAAGAGAGAGAAAGAGAGAGACTCATTCAGACGCTGTCTTTCCGGCAGACCTGTTCTTCACCTGAGGACGGCTGCTTGCGTTGTGACCGAAACGTCGTGAGAATTATTTAATTATGTTTTATTTTTATTATTTTATTATTTCCCTTCTACGTGACTTTACCGAAAGAACCAAGAAGAGGAATCCCTGCAGTCACGAAAGCTTTAAATCGAAATTTAAGAGAGAGGCTGCGGGACCACGTATTCACTCGACGCAATATCATAGAACAGTGCCGGGAATGGAAAGCCCCACTATACCTCAATGTAATCGATTTTAAGAAAGCGTTTGATAGCATACACAGAGACAGTCTTTGGAAAATCCTACAGACATGGCACCCCACTAAAACTCATTGAGCTGATCAAGAGCTTCTATCAAGAATTTGAATGTACCATCCTGGTCAACAACACTACCTCGGACTGGTTGCCCGTGGCATCAGGGGTACGCCAAGGATGCATCCATTTACCAATTCTCTACCAGGTTGCCATTGACTGGGTTACGAGATGTACCACATAAGACTTTCCAGGGAGAATCCAGTGGCCCCCCTTCTCAGTGCTTGAAGATCTTGATTTTCGCAGATGACAGCTCTGCTCTCTTCTAAATAAACCCATATACAGGAGAAAACAACTGGGTGGAGTCAGTTTGCTGACCAACCAAGGCTTGCAGATAAATGTAGAAAAGACCCAAAAATGTAAATCAATACAGCAACAACAACAACAAGGTAAAACCACTGGAACAGATTTAAATTTTACATACCCTGGCACTGTAATAAGCAAAGCAAACTCCACCTCAGAAGACCAAGCTAAACAAGGCAAGGACACACCTTCTTCCAACTGAGAAACGTCTAGAAGTCTGGCAATACAGTTTAAAGACGAATATATAACAGCAATGTAAAATCAGTGTTACTGTACAATAGTGAAAGTTGGGAGAACCACCAAGATAGACATGAACTCCCCATCAACCTTCCACAACAACTGCCTGAGGAAAATCTGTCGCATCTTCCGGCCAAACAAGATTTCAAACCGAGACCTGTACATCAAGACCAATTCAAGATGCACAACGCGGGGACGTAACAGAGAGAAGACTCAGGTGGCTGGGACACGTGCTGCGAATGGAACCCGAGTCCAGAGCGGAAACTGTTGGTTATGGACACCAAGAGGGAAAAGACCACGGGGCAGGCCTAAAACCACCTGGAGACGCACCATTAAAAACCAACTATAGACCTTGGGCCTGTCTTGGGGTGAAGCAGAGAAAGCTGCTAAAGACCGTCCCGGCAATGATGTGGGCTTGTTGCAGCCTTATGCTCCACAGGTAGCGAACAGGAGTAAGCAGAAATTCTAGATTTGAAGCTTTCGTGACTGCAAGGATTCATATTCTTAGGTTTTTTTCGGTAAAGTCACGTAGGTAAAAAATTAAAATAAAAATAAAATAAAAATCACGATGTTTCGGAGGCAACACAAGCTTCCGTCTTTACTTAATGCAGCAGTCGTGCTGTGACTGTTCCACCTGAAGACGGAAGCTTGTGTTGCCGCCGAAACGTCGTGATTTTTATTTTACTTTTATTAATTTAAATTAAAAAAATTTACCTACGTGACTTTACCGAAAAAAACTAAGAATAAGCAGAAATTATTACTTAATTTATGTTTCTGAGTTAACCAGGCTTGTTTTACCATGTTTAGTTGTTTTCTTTTTTCACACTATTGTTATGTAGGCCAGGCTTAGTCACAAACCGTACCTCTCCATAACAAAGGCTCAGCCTTTTGTTATGCAGTCTATTCTTAGTCTTAAGCCTCACCTTACCATATTAATAAAAAGTGTGCCTTACTTGGCCCTTCCCCTCTCCAACCATTATATATACGGAGTGGTAGTTCTTGTAATCTCTCATTTACTTGATACAGCTGTCGTGGCTGTGACGGTTCCACCTGAAGACGGAAGCTTGTGTTGTCTCCGAAACGTCGTGATTTTTATTTTATTTTACTTTGATTAATTTTAATGTTTTACCTACGTGACTTTACCGAAAAAACCTAAGAATATAAATCCTTGCAGTCACGAACGCTTCAAATCTAGAAATATATATTGGAGTTCAATGCTTACATTAGTACGAGTTTCACACAGGCAAGCAGGAAGGAAATGGTTATGCAGGGACCAAGTGGCAACATACAGGTTATATATATATATATATCACCTGTTTTAGTCTTAGGAAATGTCGTCTGTGCATTCTGTGTTGTTAATGTTAACACAGCGGCCTTAATTTTCAAAGACGGCACTGCTCAGATCATCGAATGAAGGAAACTGGAATAAATGACCCAATTTGACAAAGCTTGGATATTGAAGTGATGCTTGCCAAGACCGCTGCTTCCCAGAGGACATCCCATACAGAACTACAGTGTCATTTAAAAGTGTCACCTCAATTCTCTGGCCATTTTCAAAGAAAGCTGAGCTCTAAAGTCACGGGGGAGTTTAATACCCTTCTCTCTATAAGCCCTGCATGAAGTGATAAGTTTCAAAGGGAAAAGTACCAAACTTTGTCATTTTCTGGAAAATGTGCTATTGCATAAACACGTGAGCAGCTCTGATTAGACACTTGCAGTTTATAATGTCACATGTGCTGCACGTTCGTAACAATCACATACACACTTTAGAGTATTCATCGCTATATTTACAGATGTAGGGTTCAGAAAGGATGTTTCCTGTGTTGAATAATTAACTCGTCCTCTAACATTCCACATCAGTGGAATTTTTAAGTTAAAATTAAATAAAAAGTATGATTACACATCCCCCCCAAAGCCACCAATTAATTTTTTGTCTCATCAAACATTTACTGTTTTCACACCTCATTTCCAAATAAACTACCCACTGGAACATATACTTCTTGCTACAATACAGCTATAATTTATCCAGCAATACCAATATAATTTGAATACAAACTTTATTCAGATTGTGGTTTTACTGAGATCATTACGAGTATATAATTAAAAGTACATGATGGCATTACACATTACATGTCGTTCTATTTGCATATAAACACAAACCAAAACATGTTTTTTATATTATATGGTCACTAATGACAGCAAATCACATAGTATGTTGTGGAATGACCCACAAGTTACTTCACAGCTCTATTTTACACACCCACTAAATAAACGAGCGGTATTTTGGTGATGTCTCTAGAAGGCGACTTGACCGCGTTTAAGTGCAAGATCCAAACGTTGTGACTTTTCTGAGCTTAACGGGCCTATGGCCAAAGCACCCGCAATGCACCCGACCTTGTCAGACCTTAAAAGCTGAGCAGCCTGGATAGCGCTCGGGTGGGTGAACATCGCCCACAAGAGGCAGGCGTTACAGGCGTCGCGGGCATCAGAGGGCACTGCAGCAATTCCCATTCTAATTCTGCACTCCACAAACTTTCATCAACCCACACTGACCACAGCTGTGATATACGTTCATTTATCGCTCATGGCCTGCAAGACGTGGGGAAGCCTTAAACATTGGCAGCAGCTTTCGTGACTGCAGGGATTCATCTTCTTGGTTCTTTCGGTAAAGTCACGTAGAAGGGAAGTAATAAAATAATGAAAATAAAACATAATAAAGTAATTCTCACGACGTTTCGGCTCCGACAGACCTGGTCTTCACCTGAGAACGACTGCTTGCGTTGTGGCCGAAACGTCGTGAGAATTATTTTATTATATTTTATTATTATTATTTTATTACTTCCCTTCTACGTCACTTTACCGAAAGAACCAAGAAGATTGGCAGCAGCGTTCGTCTAAACTACCCAGCCACCTATTTTGCATGTTCTCCCCGTGGCCGCATGGATGAGTGGATCTTTCCTCCGGGCACCTCCGGTTTTACCCCTCCACATTTAGAATCGGCGTGCGTTTAGAGTCATTTGCCCGCTATAAATTTACACGCGATAAGCCACTTCGTTGAGCTATCAATTGTGGCCAGGTCGCTTGTGAAAAAGAGCTAGACAGCTCAGTGGGCCTTACGTGGTAAAATAAAAAGTAAATACTTTAGTTTTTTTTATGTCACGGGTTAAATTGATCCCTACAGTCACAAGAGGTGCTACTATGGATAGTACAGTATATATATGAAAGTACGAGTTGAATCGCAACCCTGACTTTGAATAATTTATCGAATTGCCAGAGTGGTGAATCGTTAAATCCCTCGTGTCAATCCGCTGCTAGAGTAGGGCCTCCCCACGCCATACATGCAGTGGCCCAGTAAACATGGGATATTGAGCCAACGTTAACTTTGGCCCAACGTCGCATACCTACTGTGTTGAGGGCTGTTTGACCATGACTGTGTAGTTTTATTGTAAATCTTTTTACTAGTTTTGGATGAACAAACACAAACCTGCTCGATCTTCTCGTATCTCTTGAGCAGCTCCACGTCGAACATGGACTTGGGCCTCTGGGCATCGAGGTTGCGTTGATGGAAGTGTTGGTCCCTCCGTCTCTGCTCCATCACCTTCTGCAGCTCGGGCTTGGTGCGCAGGAGCACCCCTCTGCACGCCAGGCAATAATATACAGGTCAACTCCCCCTATTCCCAACCCTATTACTCACAGCTCCTATTATCCATGGTCTGCGAAAATACATGCGTGTGACCCTATTTATTATTTTAGCCACAATTACCCATAGTTTTTCCCATACTGCTTTGCTGGAAGGATTCCTCTTATCAGAATTTGTTCATAAGAGTCATGTGGCAAAGCCATCCTATTATCCACGGATTGTCCATTTTTCCTGGTGATAAGTGGAGTAACATCACAGAGAACCCAGAGGATAATAGTATCCGTGATACTGGTCTCCCACATCACCATAAACAACAGAAGTTCTCCTCCATAATAAGAGGTTTTTGGCTTCTCTTGTACACTACTCGTATTACAATGCACGTGCTTATATTGTTCCCAAGCTAATTATAAATTGTGCTTTCATGGTACTTAACGACTGGGAAAATGTGATGTTTTCAGTTCAGTTCTATGCATTCCTCATTATAAAACTTTTTTAATGAACAAAAAATTATCCTTGCTCATTATTTCTGCCAGAAAATTTTAGCTATAAATATGAACTTAATTAGATTGCATATATTTTTCCGCCATTAAAAGTGTATTGACGATTATTTCATGATTGTACTAAAATGGCCAATATGCATTGCAACTGGATGGTTGATGAACGTAATGCCAATGTGAAATGGATGAGTCATCAAATTAAACGTAAATTGGCCAATATAATTAATGCACTAATTTTCACCACTGTGGGAAAAATAGCATTGTCCACATCACATTATGGAGAAGACAAACTTCTCCTTTGTTTAAAGCACACACGCACAACATTGTTATAAACAGATCCGTTACCATGTGTGGTGTTAGTTTCCTGTGTCAACCCTGACTACATTATTTCCCACTTTGAAGTCTGAACAACACCTGTGCAACTACTCTTACCAGGTTAACGGTTATATTACAGATATGATCCACGTGCCACCCCAACTTTGTCGTGGATAGGAGTGCTACTTCACTGTAATTCTACTGAATCCACACAGCGATTGGCTAATGACTCGGTAGTGAGCTGACCGTCTTTGTACTACTGTTAATTTAAAGCTTCCATCATCAACATAATTTGCATTATGTATGTCACCGTGTTACGTGAATAACAATGCAGCAGACTCGAACAAACGCCATGATAATTGTCTAAAATGGTGCAGGTATCTCATAGAAATTTCTAAACAACGTTGGGATTGTTGGACACCCACAACTCCCTCCTGCCGTGGCTGTGTCCCCGATGCCTTCCCACAATCGTGAGCTGGTGAGAGATGTACAAGGTGAAAATTTTAAATTAATAAAAGTAAAATAAAAATAAAATAAAAATCACGACGTTTCGGAGGCAACAAAAGCTTCCGTCTGTGTTGCCTCTGAAACGTCGTGATTTTTATTTTATTTTTATTTTACTTTTATTAATTTTAATTTTTTACCTACGTTACTTTACCGAAAAAACCTAAGAATATGAATCCTTGCAGTCACGAAAGCTTCAAATCTAGAATGTACAGGGTGGTCCTGATGTCTTGTGGCCCTCATTTAATTCTCTAAAATGAAATGTTTTTTTTTTTAACGTAAGGTTTATTTAAAACATAAATGAATACGCAAAGGAAAAAAAATTCTGGGTCAATTAATTTGGGGTCATAAGACATCTGGACCACTCTATATATTTGGTGGGCTGGGTTGTTCACTAGATTTCAAGGGAACGTGGCAATATTTTTAATACAGAATTATATTTTACATTAAAAAAAGGGGTTCTTTTTAGTGTCACACGTACTACACCATGTTATCCAATGCCGTAACCACAAAGGGGGGAACGACTGTTTATGCATATTTAACTTATTTCGCACCGTGCATAGGCAACCGTGCAAATTGGAGGTGCGGGGGAAGGACAACAAACTAAACACAAAAAGTAGTTATATGACAGAGAACATGTTCACATTCTACGTTACTAAATATTTTCAGTTTTTACCCATTTTTCTTCGCCATGGCAATAGATATAATCTTCAATAACAAAGTGGCGTGTTCATGCACCAAGAGACAAATAAAGAGGTTCATGGTTCTAGAAAATTAGAGACCGGTAATGAGCGTGGACAAAATTGAGTGGGCTTAATGTAGGACACGACGCTAGAAACGCTGATAGGCAATGGAATGGTAATTGAGGGAGAAAATGCCGAGTGGATGAACACTGTGGAGGTGGGATTAGTCCGTGTGCGTGCGGCAGTGAGATAGAACGTCACTGTTCAGACTAAAATATAGAGCCTACATGCACCTGTACCTCGCCTTTCATATTACACTGCCACTGCTTTTGACTCGCATGTATTTCGCTTTATAGCTTGAGGACGGCTGCTTGCGTTGTGGCCGAAACGTCGTGAGAATTATTTTATTATGTTTTATTTTTATTCTTTTATTATTTCCCTTCTACGTGACTTTACCGAAAGAACCAAGAAGATGTATTTCGCCTATGACCGCCAAATACCTCGTTTGTCAGTTGTTAAATATGCCTTAAGGACCCTGTACTAGTTCTCCACAATTTTAATGTTTTTGTTGTTGCTGCTGCTGTGCTCCGGTTCTACGGAATCTCTGCTTCAAAACAGGCAGGCGACTGGCCCAACGGGATCATCCGTGGTGAACATCAAAATGTAATTCTAGATTTGAAGCTTTCGTGACTGCAAGGATTCATACTCTTAGGTTGTTTTTTCGGTAAAGTCACGTAGGTAAAAAAATAAAATTTCTAAAAGTAATAATAGAAATGAGGGCTGGTCTCTTGGAATTTTGCCTCACTTGATGCAGTAATTTTAGCTGTGACGGTCCCACCTGATGACGGAGACTTGTGTTGCCTCCGAAACGTCGTGATTTATTATTTTACTTTATTTCTATTATTACTTTAAGTAATTTAATTTTTTACCTACGTGACTTTACCGAAAAAACCTAAGATCATCAAAATGTAGTTGACTCAAAATGTATCTACACAGCGCAACGAGGGCCCGCGTATATCCTAAGGCTGTACAAAATGTATGCTCCATTATTTGTTTCAGACCGTTCACTATTCGACAATTCTGACAATGGACCTCTCCCCCCCCCCCCCTCCCTCTTACCACCCGAACAGCACCCAACCATGTACTCTCCATCTCCCTTCTTATCTAACGCTTACGCTCACGACGCAGTTTGTCTGAACGTATGTTTTTTGCGTTTGCTTGCGTATTTTCTCCGGTGGTGCCCTTGGAGCGTGCGGTGCATTTTAATATTTAACAAAATATCGCTTTGGAAAGACAAAAAACAATGTTGTAGATGGCTGTCCTTGAGCATGTGCCCCCTCATACCCTCATGGGTAGAGAACTGCTGTGTTGAGTTGGTGCCCGCATAGGCAAATGCTGTTGCATGACTCCCCTTAAAATACATTGTTTGGTTGAATCTATTTGTTGACGAGGGTAAGAAACGTTCAGCCTTAAGCTGTTTTGTATGAATGACCCGTGGAGGACCTTGGTAAAAAGAAAAGGAAATTACGGCAAATAAATCATAACGTTGGAAACACTGAAGATCAAACACGTTCAAGGAATTTTTTCGATTTAAAGCTTTCGTGACTGCAGGGATTCATCTTCTTGGTTCTTTCGGTAAAGTCACGTAGAAGAGAAGTAATAAAATAATAAAAAATAATAAAACATAATAAAATAATATTATACTTTTTTTTATTACTTCCCTTCTACGTGACTTTACCGAAAAAAACAAGAAGACTTTCAAGGAAAACAACAATATTCAAGTCACGCACCACTCAAGTAACAGCGGCAGGCAACACACAAATATATAATCGACTCGTGTGGTGTTCGCTAACCACATGCGCAAGAAAATGGGTCTCTTAAATTAAATAAAGGAGTTTAAAAACAAGCCCTCCTCTGTGCGTCTCCTAGCATCAGAGGCGCGGCCGCTGTGTGGGTGTTGTGTGGATTATTTATGGGTTTTTTTTTTATCGAAGTTGTGCGAGCACAGCCCGAAAGTCCCAAAATGTCAAACGTGGCGAGCAACAGACAGCACGAGTAAGAGTTGTCACATCTCTTCAATTGATCTCGGTTATATGAACTTGAGATGTAGACGATTAAAAAAGAGACATCCACAGATTTTTTTTGAGGGAGAAAAAATTAACCCGTAAAAACAAAGTTTTTCACTATAAATCCTTTATATGCGTGGCATCGGTTTTATTTTATTATTCATTTCTGTTTTTCTTGAGTAAGAGTTTCATTTTTATCACATTGGTATTTTAAATTAAATATGAAAAAAAAATTCCTAAAAAGTGGAAAATTTTTTGGAAAAAGTTTTTCACGAAAATAAATTGTCACGCACAACGAGTCTGTGTGCAAAATGTCAGCTCGATTGGATCACGGGAAGTGGGTTAAAAAACGACCGAAAGATTTGCACGGTCGTAAGCGCGCAAGCAAGCAAGCAAGTGAACTTAATATAAAGGATTTTAAAAAATCGTGATATACTTGGAGATGTGATTTACCTGCTGCACAAATGTGATATAAATGCCGACTGCGATGGAAGCTGTAACTATGTACGTACGTGTGCTGAACTTCTTTCGCACCGCACATAGCCAGCCGTGCTAATCGGAGGTGTTATATGAACAGTCATTGGCCAAGAGTTACCAGCAGTCGCATAGATTTAATATAACCACTGTACAGTAGTTTATATAATCAAACATATGATAAATAGGGTGTGCAAGTATTAACATATAGCTTGCCAACAGCGATTGTTGGCAGCAAGTAATGGGCACCTGTGCCTTCGTGATGTCACCAATAACCACCAATCCCGAGTGAGACAACCCATAGCTTCCAATGTGAGGCTCTGGCCCTGCTTTGGCATGGCCAATGTGTGTGTGAGGCCACATTTGCACAATACACAGAGTGACTTTTTTCTTGCAGGTGTGGCAGTTTTGATGTCAGCTAAGCCTGTTGGAACACTATTCAATTGTCCTTACGATGAAAAGATGAAAAAGGAGATTAAGGAGGTTTGGTTTTTTTTAATATCCCTACAGCAGGAAATGAATAAAGCTCATTCAGTGTGTGTACAGGTTGGTGCAGATGTCTTGTGACCCCCATTTAATTCTCTAAAACTTTTACTTTTTTCGGTAAGGTTGATTTAAAATCAGGTTTATTAGACAGGGAAATTAATGTACAAATGATAGCTTGTGTTGCCTCTGAAATGTCGTGATTTTTTATTTGATTTTTATTTGATTTTACTTTTATTAATTTAAATTTCTTACCTACGTGACTTTACCGAAAAAAAATCTAAGAATATGAATCATTGCAGTCACGAAAGCTTCAAATCTAGAATAAATGATAAGGGGTCACAAGACATCTGGACCAGCCTGCACAACTGCCAACGCTGAGTGCTGTATTCCATACGATGCAGACAATATAAAAACAATGGTCTCAACAGTCTTACGCTGTCAGCTATTGGTCTATCTCTCTACACTCGCGTCCATAGCAGAGCTCCATCTCCACACTATAATTGCTTTTACCTTAAGATTTGTGAAACATGATACTCCTCCCCTTTCTGCATTATTCTGATCGCAGGATGTGGCTGTGCAATCTCGAACGTCTAAATGCCCGCGCTTCGGAAACAACGTAAGAGGACGCCTGTGTTATGCTCAATAAAGAAAGTCATTCTGAAATCGATAGGAACCCGTCTTTAAAATATAAAAAAAAACATCCACGGTTAATTATTTGTTGCTCAAAATGGTTAACGTAGCCAAGCTCGCCTTTGTCTACTCGTGTTAAAGCTTGTAAAGTGTAACCTTTAAACTTTAAAACAACTTTCATTCGACTGAGCATGTTCAAACTGCGCAGCATTCTTCCAAGGACCAGTTTTTCAGGTCCTGGTATTTTTCGAATACCTCGTTAACAAGGGTGCCTCTTCTCTCTCTGTTCATGTTTTGATTTTCAGTTTGGTTTGCTGTTTAATTATCAAGCCATTATTATTTATTTTACTGCTTTATCCCCAAAAGTTGCATTGCTTCGGTAAGTTCATATATTATGTAGTGATATATTACGTTCAATATACAATCATAACGATGGAAAGCAAGAATTCAATCCAACTGCATTCTAATTAACCATGTTACTATTAAGGATACAGATGTGCATAGAGAGAGCACCTACGAGCAAGAACGGCTGAGGAGTTTGATGACAAGGATGGTGGCATAAGCAGGATATATCCCATATTCTTAGGTTTTTTCGGTAAAGTCACGTAGGTAAAAAATTAAAATTAATAAAAGTAAAATAAAATAAAAATCACGACGTTTCGGAGGCAACACAAGATTCCACCTGAAGACGGAAGCTTCTGTTGCCTCCGAAACGTCGTGAGTTTTATTTTATTTTACTTTTATTAATTTTAATTTTTTACCTACGTGACTTTACCGAAAAAACCTAAGAATATGAATCCTTGCAGTCACGAAAGCTTCAAATCTAGGATATATCCCAACATAGAGTCCTGGGTTGGGTCGAGTAAAGCGTGTCGGAAACCCGGCTTTCCGAACGATCATGACGCAAACATGACGCCGGGAACACGATCTGCACCCAAAAGGCATGCCGTTAAAGCAGCACAGTTCTGACTCGTTGTGCGGGTACCCTGCCTGATGCAGGACGCTAACCGATGAGGGTACAGCAAGGGATGTGACAAAGATGATTCCGTAAGAGTATGAACTCACTTGATGCAGCAAATCTGGCTGTGACGGTCCCACCTGATGACGAAGACTTGTGTTGCCTCCGAAAAGTCGTGATTTTTATTTTATTTTTATTAATTTTAATTTCATTTTTTGACCAACGTGACTTTACCGAAAGAACTAAGAGTAAGAAAACACACCAGTTGTACGCGCAATGTGAGCAGTTTGACGAGAGATTATGACGTTCAAGAGAGATGGAAAGCATCTGTCACGGGTATAAACCCTCGGTTATGAAGACGACGCGAGATAGATGGATCAGGTTACACCACGCAAGTGCATCGATACTCAGAATTACAGAGCGGCGCATTCCTGCCTCTTTCAGGACACAACTTGAGGAGACTCCTTGTGTGTTTGTTGACTGTAACTTACTGTTTTTGGTTCATGATGAGTTCCCTCGTGAGCTCCTTGTAGCTGGGCGAGGTGTGGAGGGGGCTCATCAGCTTTTTGGGTTTGATGAGGTCTGGGCATTCATCGGGGTAGTCGGGGTCACTCATGGTCCTCTGGCGAGCACGCTTTTGCAGTACTTCATAGTCCGGAGCTACGCACAGACAACAAGGGCAAATGATGCAAAGCAATCACTCACACAAAGAAAGCAATCACTTACAGAGATGAAATAATCGATATTCCCTGAGTCACTCCAATGCTGGATGAAGGCATCCCTATGCCTTCTCATTGATGGGGGGGGAGGGGCTTGTATTACTCGTCAGTATTCTCTCGTTATTCACGAATTTGCTATCCGCAATTTTGGCTATCCGCGAATCGCACCGGGAACTCTACACGACTGCATTGATAGACAGAGAGAAAGTGATGAGATGAAGTGACGCGAGAAAGTGATGAGATACAGTGATCAGATCATTTTCACGTATTTAATAGCTTGTTTACGTATTCATTTCGGGTAATTCATAACAACAACAAAAAACAGTTTTTCGTAGGTCAATATAATTATCCGCGAAATGTTCTATTCACGAGCATCTCCAGAACGTATCCCTCGCGAATAACGAGGGAGCACGACTTTTCAGCCGGTTGGCCAGTGCTGATTAGTGAAGTGGGGACGCAGAGGTAAAGAGGCTCGGACTGGTTAAGATATCGCTCGCCGCTGACATGATCCCTGTCCAAAAATAGAAATGATGCACAATGAATAACCTACAAGCTTCTGCCAGTTCACCGCTGGATTCAAAGCGTCCCCGTGTCTTGTCACTCACGGGGGGGGGGGGGGGGGGTTCCTGTGGCCGACTGTACTTCGCCACGCTCGTCAGAGTGGGTTGGTGTGTGAGGTGCCCATGAGCAACTCGGATATATTCGCTCACCGCTGATGTTAGCCACGGCTGTGAATCGCACCCAGACGAACAAGGTTCATAGTATGGTGGGATAAACAATGTGCCACGGGTAGAATGGAAATAATAAAATAAAAAAAATTTAACATAATAAAAAAAATATATTATATTCTTTTTTCTTTTTTTATTTCCATTCTACTTGACTTTACCGAAAGAACCAAGAAGATGAATCCCTGCAGTCACGAAAGCTTTAAATCGAAATTTAATGTGCCACAGCCTGGAAAAGCCATTGCTTTATCTACATTTCAGAAGAGGAAGTATGGGGAGTACAATATAGGCTCTTCTTGTGGTGCTCTTCATTAACGAACCTCTCGGGTCTTTGGCTTTGTGAGAGGTGTAGGAAGTTCTCAACTTTGCTTTAAAGACGCTTTTAAACGGGTTTGTTTTAAATATTTTACAGACCTCATAAGCAGTACAAAAAGTGTCAGGAAATCAAAGTTCTTTGACGAGAACCAAATTAAAACATATTTCGATTTAAAGCTTTCGTGACTGCTGGGATTCATCTTCTTGGTTCTTTCGGTAAAGTCACGTAGAAGGAAAATAATAAAATAATAAAAATAAAACATAATAAAATAATTCTCACGACGTTTCGGCCACAACGCAAGCAGCCGTCGAAGACGGCTGCTTGCGTCTTCGACGGCTGCTTGCGTTGTGAGAATGATTTTATTATGTTTTATTTTTATTCTTTTATTATTTTCCTTCTACGTGACTTTACCGAAAGAACCAAGAAGACAAATTAAAACAGTCAGTTTATAGTTTCAGTGCTGCAATGCAACCGATTGTCTACATCCAGAAGCATCGCTGTTCATTTGCAGCAGTTTTTTTCTTATTGTTGTTTGGAATCTTGGAAACTTTCCACTTTTGCATGCATATGTGCTACCACTTGGACAGCCGAAGAGATTGCTTATTTGCCTGTGTCAGGCATGAACGCCACACAATTTTAAGCAGGCAATGCGTTCCATTCACGCCCATGAATTTCGCAACACATGGAAAGCCACGCATTGGAAGCCACATTGCATGCACTGCCAACATACAAAATTAAACTATGAGTAGAATATAGTACTTGTACAATTTATAACGTGTGCTGTGGGGGTGAAACAAAAAAGTATATATTTATATATAACACCATGCTTCCTAATAGAATACATTATATATTTATATTCTTCAACAACTCGTACTGACCAATGTGTAAAAGTATGGCCAAACAAACCCATGACTGAAAGGTGAGCCCTTTATCCAGCAGTGGATTCACAAAGGGCTGTACATTATGACGTAAGTTTTTACAACAATAAATATTGTTGCAGTAAACTTCCACAAGGCTAAACTTCTCTTATCCGCACCCCCGATTAGCACGGTTGGCTACGTACGGTGCAAAAGAAGGTCAACGTACAAGGCTAGAATCCACTCTTCTTGTTATGCATGGGCCAGTGCTCATCTGTGCACATTCCTATTATCTACGTTGAGTATTCACAGAAAGAATAAGTTGCGCAATAAATTGCCTCTACAATCCGTGAGTAATAATGATAATTATTCGTTTTTGATATCGCGCCCTTCACGCCGTGGTGTCTCTGAGCGATTTAGACACGATAAGCGACTTGCATTAACATCCCATCTCAATCATTTTCAAGGACAGGTGGAATTATTTTTGTGGGTCGTCACAGACTATAAGACCAACTAACACCCCCCCCCCCCCCCAGACATAATTGCATATAAGAGGAGCGCTCCTATTCATATTCTTTGGGTCTTTCGGTAAAGTCACGTAGATAGAACAATAAAATAATACAAAATGTTATTAAAATTAAGTGAATAAAAATTATAAAAAAAATCATACAAAATAATGTAAATATAAAATCAGTTCTTGAGCAAGCTATCAGCATGTGGAGCGAAATGTCATACAATGTCGAATAATGCGGGCTAAGACACGTTTGCGGAGATGTGCAGCACAACTGTAAAGACCTGTTCAGTGGAAGGTCATTCGTTTTGGAATAAAACTGGTTTGGAAAGCTCGTTATTGTAGTCGGAGCAAATATATTACTTAAAAAAATAATTTCATCTCAGGTCATTGGAATATTATCCCACAAATAAAACTAACCGTTTGTACAAAATTTGATGTACAGAAGTAAGTAATGTATTTAGGGTTTACAAAATATTTGGTATATAATATTTTACAAATCATACTCCGTTGAATATAATTTGTCACTCTGAAAAAAATATATATATTATACGTGTGTTTACTTAAAATACACACACAAACTGAAATATTAATTGGTTGCAAAGCATTATTTTATTTTATACAAATGCACCTAACCCTGAATGACCATGCTATGATATGCACCCCTAGGGAAATTACCATGCAGAAGTTATCTACTAATTAATTTTCAAAATTTACCCCAAAGGGAGTTTTGTATGGGTTGCTAGTTAAACATGCGTGTATAGAAGGATGTCATATGAATTCATGCCACACAGCACTTTACAAATATAGTGTTTAATTACACACAAATAATGCAAAATGTGTTATTGAGTGGGGGAAATGTACAGTGTGTGAAAGAACATTTCGTGTCTGACGTAATCTTGTTATTTTTCAATCGCGTGCGATTTAACACATTCCTCCACACCAGTTGAAGGTCGGGGTGGCTATTCAAAGGGCTAAATAAATTTGACAACAGTTTTTATCATCCAGCAAAGAAAGGAGGCCATTCTCGAAAAAATATAATACTGCGTACTTTCTCAGTGCAGCCTGCATTCTCTGTGCGTCTCCACGCGAGTATGAAGCCCCATTATTATACAGCCCATGTTGTATCTACATACCTGGCAACCCACACGCTTTACCCGTATTCTTGTACAGGGAAATTGAGTTTTCAGGTCCATACGGCGTACAGTCGTTTCAATACGGGAAACACATGTTTTTTTATACTCTTTGGTTTGATCCTTGCAGTCACGAAAACTTCAAATCTATAAGGAAAAAAACACGTTTTTGTCTATTTGTTTGCGTCTCTCCCTTGTGATAGGACTTTGTCGGATGGTACGTTGAGATTTATAAGGGCACGAGGATGACCAATAAGGTCCGAATTCGTCTGTAAAAGGTAGGGCACAGATATGTATCTTGTTCCTCGTAAGTGATTACAGTCTGCATCAGGTTGTTGTGGCACCAAATGACCTGGAATAACTTTGGTACGTGTTTTACATTTAAATAGATTACGTGTTGACGGTGCTGCTGCTGCGTTGGAAGTTGCTGTGCACAATCACAACTAACAAAACAAATCGACACTTTCGTCAATAACACTGTGGCCTTCAAAATAGAAAGAGTACAAAAACACGCAACGTTTCGGGGAATGGTCCTACGTCGCAGAACCGAAAGAGGCCATGTGACTTAATGAAGGCCCATTGCCCAAAACGTTGCATGTTGTATGATTTGTTTTCTACTTAAAGGCGAATGTGTTGGGAGTGTTCACGCCTCATGACGGCGAGGTCAATCAAGACCTCTTGTCTTACCGGAAGGCAACGTAATGTTGGGACAATTTTAGTTAATGCGACAGTCAAAAAAATGATTCTGCGAAAAGACAATGATGTTCACGCGTTGTAAAACAAACGACATCGGCATGTAAATTGTGAGTGCACCTCTTGTGGTTGACAGTTCCTTTCTGGCTTAATGAGCCACAGCGTGTAACAATTGCAGACGTATCATTTTTTTATGTTGTGCAAAATCCTACGCCGTATAGTTCCAAATATAAACTATCACGGACAGTGGCAGATTATCACGGGCAAACTTACAAAATGCCTTTAGCAATGCGCTGGGGTGAATTACCTCTCGCACGAAATATCACATCACGAGACCAGCTTTCCCGAACGCTGGCTCGAGAACTGGCACAACCAGTTCTAATGATTTATACTCCGTGCAGAGGTGCCCCGTGTAATTATAAACAAGAGCCTGTCATGGCTTTGTATAATGAAATATAAGTAGTCACTCTGTTCGCGCGTTACACGTAAATGGATAAAGTAGCATAGTGCGGTACTCTTTTTACGATAACATTGTCCACGAGAACGGGTTGCAAATGTATATGAATTAGTATGTGCTCACGCGTAATTTCTTTATCCGAAACATACTTTAATAGTTATATAATGAAGTGAGCGTTTAGGTCAGAGACTGAGTCTCTATAAAAAAATTAACCCGTAAAAACAAAGTTTTTCACTCTAAATCCTTTAT